AGCCCCTTTGATGTTCTTGTGATTTTTATCCCTAAAATCACATTAGCATGTCACATATATTTCATGTTAAACTTGGAATTCAACATATCCTTGCTAGACTTGATCATCTTATCATTACTACCAACAATGAGCATGTCATTCACATAAAGACATAGAATGACATAGTCATTTCCAACCTCTTTGACATAAACACATTTATCACACATTGTTTTAAATCCAATCTGTCATCATAGCACTGTCAAAGTTCTCATGTCATTATTTTTGTGCTTGTTTCAAGCTGTACAATGACCTCACCAGTTTACAAACTTTTCTTTTGCTGGGAATAATGTCCTAAAAGCATGATATGTAATGAAGGATATTATTATTTATCTAATAAAAGAGAAATTTCATTATTTATGTGTATATATTATTGAATATTATGTGAATATCATTGAAAATTCTGTGATTATTTATGTAACTTTAAATATTGTATATAAGAGTTATATACAAGAGGATAATATTTAAGGATAATAATTGAAATGTGTTCGTAATGAATTTAATTAAAGTTTTAGAATCTTTAATTAAAACATTATTAATACATGTCATTCCCATTAAGAATGGAACGGTATTATCCGCACTGTTAATATGGAAGGATATTGGATGAGTGTATTACACATAATGTGATTTTGTAGAACTGGGACACAAATACGACTTGAAATTCTAATAATTTTTGTTAAGTATAGAAATACGAATTGAGTTTATGGATGGTCATATATACGACGATTTTAATCCTGAGTTATTAGCACACTCATGTTTATGGATTTGTGTCTTTTAACTTACTCAGTATATATTTCGAGATTGCTAAATCTCATTCCTTGTAGCTTGGAGACATAATGAAATGAGTAGTTGGGAATGCTAATATATGAGATGAAATCCATTTCTTCTTGAATAAAGAAGTAGATAGATAATTTTCTTGAGTGTTGATTCAGTTTTTGGATTAGTAGGAGCTCCGATTCATGAATTTGTTTTATAAATCACTATCCATTAGAGAATCAATGGTACTCAAGGATAAAGATATAATTAGAGAGGTTAATAGATTTTAGCTTGCTCTAATTATGACTTATTTATGGAGGATCTATCTATATGTAGTGACTATATCAAATGGACACTTCAAGTTCTTAGAAGTAAATTACATCTGTAACTTTGAGAGTGCAATTTCAAGTTTATAGTGGAATAACTTTTGAAATTAATATGATTAATTAATTAATTAAAGAATTTAATTAATTATTAATTTCATTAGAGCTCAGAATTATAGGTCCATGACTGACTGTGTCATCCTTGTAATATTTACAAGACGAGGTGAATTATTGGTAATTAATATCACTTGAAATAAATAATGTGATTATTTAAATTAATTAATTTTAGAATGTGGTGGGGCCAGATGAGGCCACACGCCCAGCACAGAGAAGTGCAGGTGGCGTGTAGCACAAGGAAAATGCCTCTGGGATTCAGTTGATTGCTCTCCAAGAAATTCAGTATACTTGTTTGATAAGTTTTTCCAATTAAATTTAAAGGAAATTAAAGTTTGACTTTATCAAAATTTGAATTTGAGTCAAAATTGGAAACTGTATAGAAAGAGGAAATTATCTCTTTCTTCTGGCTAATAAAAAGCCAACCACAAGGAAATATCTCTATGGTGTGGCAGGTCCATATAGATAAGGAGAGAGAAATTTTGTTTCTAAAATTAAATGGGAAACTATAATTTAAATAGGATTTAAAATAAAGAAGTAACCAATTATCTATTGCTTTGCCTTCAAGAAAAAGCAAAGGGATCCGCTTCGTATTCTATAAATAGGAGACAATAGAAAATTGGAGAACACAATTTTTTCTCCCTTTCCCAATGAGATAGGCGTGTAACATATATGTTACGGGCATGTTACATTATGTTTGACAACATGTAACATTCTAGTGATAGCTGTGTAACTAGAGAGAAAAAGAGAAGAAAAGTTCTTCCATTTACGGTTCCACCTCATACATGTGTTGATATGGGTGGAAGAGAAAATTAGTGAGTGATCAATCCTATAATTCTAAATTAGAGCCCACACTCTAGGTCTTGCAGGTCTACATGACTAGACGAGAAAGATTCAGATTTTTCTAGAAAGCTTGGAGCGAGATTGTTCGTGGTCAAAGAATTCAAGTTATCAACGTAATCGTTTGCTAGGTAAATAAATAAATTAGATTAATTTATTCATGTATAAATTAATATAATTTATAGAGTATTGTAAAAATTTTGTGAAATTTTTTGTTATATACGATCCGCACCTTTTCGCTTCCGCATCTAAAATCGTTTTGGAAACTAATACTTTTTTCCTGTGTTGGAGTAGAAAAACCCTCAGTTTGACAAACAACAACATAACGTCACAATAAAACCTAAATATTTAAACTATAAATTCTAATACTAATTATTACTAATTAGAAATTTAAATTTAGGAAAGGGAATAATATTCCTAATTTCAAATTATTACAAATATAGTTTCTTTTTTTTTATTGAAAATTTATATAATGGATCCCTCCTATAATTTGGGTAATAAATTCTTGAATAAGGGGGAGCTGAATTGTCAACTCTGGTTAGGGATGAGCATTTTATCCGAGTAGTTGCGAGTACGCACCCCGAATAGAGTGGGTATGGGAGTTACTAAATGGGGATGGGACGGGTATGGGTTTATATTGTCCCTGAATTAGAAGTGGGGCGGGGGCCGGAGAAGTCCCCATCGTTGCCCCAATATACATATACCTAATTTTAAAAATTATTTTTAATACAAATATATATTATACATTATACTAGTACTTAAAAATATGGGTCTCAAAAAAAATTAAAAGTATTTAAATTATACCATCTTAAAAAGCCCTAATAATTTTTAGAATTGAATTTTTAGGATTTGATTTCATATGATTTTGAGATTTGATTAGTTATTTTTAGAGCTTAGATTTTCTTTTGAAACCTTTGTTTATTTTTATGAGATATTAATTTTATGTTGATTAATTTTATATTTATTTTGATGCAATTTATTTAAGTGTTAAAAATATCCCAATTTTTTTAATTGGGTAAATAGGTAAGGTATATGAAAAACCTTCCTAATAGGAATTCCTCGAACCCGATACAGACCCCGAATACGCAGGTATAGGGGCGGGTATTGGGAGCAAAGGTGGAAGCAGAAGCAGAAGTGGGGGAAGCATACCCAACCCCATTCCACCCAATGCTCATCCCAAACTTTGGTGTATAAAATTGAACTTCTTAATTTCTTTTTCTAACAAATAGAAGATAATAAATTTTTTTTACAAAATGAACCCTTATTTTGATTTAATTATTTTCTACATACCAAGGTACCTTTTTAACTGTATTTATCCTTATTCCAACTTCCAATTTCTCATGTTAATAAATAAACAAATAGAAATTGAATTAGTTAAGTAAACACGTTGATAGAGTTATGGAACTCAATTCTAAAGAGCTTAATTAACTCGTTCTCTCTTTAAACTTAGTGGACGTTTAGTTCATAGATTCAAAACCATTATTCAGAACCATTTTCGATTTATGTGTATTTTTTGTAAGAGAAAATACTGTAACGAGTCATGAACTATGATTCAAACTATGACATGAATTGTCATACCAAACACCCCTAATTGAAGTCTTGACTAGCACCTAGTAAATGCACTTTTATTTCACTAAATTTCTTCCATACGGGGGCATTTTCGTAACCACGGTGTGTTATTTTAATCTCTTTCTTCATTAAACAATTTGACATTAATTTATTCTGCATTTTTTGAGATAGATGTACCTTTTTTTCGAACTGTCATTTTGTTAATTATAATAAGTATTTACTTGCTATAATTAGATGTCAAAACGTCTATTGTTTAAAACTAATTATTCTTTATTTTTATTATTAATATCTACTTATATTATTTTTATTGTTAATTATTTAATAATCAAATTATTAATTATCTAGTGATGATCTATTTAAGTCTTTTGTTTAAAACCAATTGTTCTTTATTTTTATTATTAATATCTACTTATATTAATTTTATTGTTAATTATTTAATAATCAAATTATTAATAATCTAGTTATGATCTATTTATTTTCTAGCTCGTTATCTATTCATTTTCTATTAAATGAAATTCTAAAACTTTGGAACTTAAATTTTTTTATTATGAAACTTAAACACACGCTAAATTCTAAATTATGCTGTTTTCTTATGCATTTATATAATGTTGGTTAGACAAAGAAGTATTTTCTGATATAAAATCCGCTCCACTTGGAATATGGATCCCAAGTTCTTAAGTTCTACTCGAAGTGAATTTGCCAACTCAATTAACCCACATTTTTATCATGTACAAATTTTTAATCATATATTTTTCTCTCTCTTATAAATTTGCCTATTTTTCTCAATTAACGTTCTTCCTAAATTTCCCGCCAACCGCGTGGCAACCTAGGAATCTGCTAAAAAGAACACACAGCAAAAAACTCGCCAACTACTACTGTTTCCCACCCTTCCTGTGATTTTGACACGTCGACATCCCAATCCAACAGTGGCCCACCTCGCAACTTTTTTTTTCTTTGACTTTTCTCTTATCGCTTCTATTTATCTGATCTGCATATTTTGACTTACCAAACTACCCCCAACAAAATAATCCGAAACCCTTTTTGGATAACATGGCATGTTTTTATTATGGGTTTCAGGCATTTAACAATAGAACTGCCCACACAAGAACCTTTCCTTTGTTGCTATCTAAGCATCACCTCTGTTTTTCACTGCCTTTTATCAGCCATTCACAAACCCAACTTTATTTCAACAACTCCCACACAAATCGCTAAAAAATAACATAAACAGAACCTTAATATGTCTCTCTCTTTTTTTTTTTTATCCTTAAATAACTTTTATGAAAAAATAAATTTAAAAAAAAATCCAAAGGTTCTTTGATTTAAAATGAATTTCTCTATCTCACTTGTTTAAATTTCAAAACCATGAGCCCTTCACAACTCCATTCAAATAAGGATGTACAAAGTTATTGGGCATCTCCTTTGAAAATCAACAAGGCCTCTCATACCATCAAGAAACCATCCTCATCGCCGTCGTCCTCGTCGTCGTCCTCCACGCTAGCTATAATCTTGCCGCCGCCGCCGCTACCACAGCAGTGCAATCCGGTCATTATATATACACATTCGCCAAAGGTCATCACCACAAATCCACGTGATTTCATGACTTTGGTGCAGAAGCTCACAGGCATATCGAGCTCTAAGGACAACGACGACGACGACGACGACACGAACCCTCCATGGACGCAGCCCGAGACCGGCGATGCCTCGTCACCGCCGCTCTCGGAGATCAACAAAGGTTCGAAGACGGCGGCGACTGGCAATGATGATAATGAGTCGTCATCGGTAACTACGGAAGAGAATGGAAGCTGTAGTAACGTAGGGGATCATATTGGTCAGGTTATCAATTCATGTTTTGTTCCTCGGCCGAACCCCTGCAATTTGATGAACAAGATACCGGTTTTTACGTCGAATTCGGCCGATATTTTTTGCCCTAATCTGCCATTTTTGAGTTGCAATGATTCTTTTCTATTTGCCGGTGCTAGTAGGAGAACTCCTGTTCGATCAAAATCTTCCACCGTTATTGATGGAAAGAGT